AACAAAAAACATGGGATCCCTGGGTGGCGCAGCGGTTTGGCGCCTGCCTTTGGCCCAGGGCATGATCCTGGAGACCCGGGATCGAATCCCACGTCGGGCTCCCGGTGCATGGAGCCTGCTTCTCCCTCTGCCTGTGTCTCTGCCTCTCTCTCTCTCTCTCTCTGTGACTCTCATAAATAAAAAAAAATATAAAATAAAAAAAATAAAATAAATAAAATAAAATAAAAACACAAAGCATAGGGGACTACTAAAAGGACACAAGGGCCAAAACTGGAACAATCTGAGCAATTAAATAAGTAAAAAAATCAAAGTAAGTTAGATAACATTGGATTAAGAACCCAAAGAATAAAATATCCATGACTCCATAGTGATATAAATAAAGAAATTAATGGGTAAGAAAATAAAGTCTTAATAAAATAAACTGGACAGAAAAAACAAATCTGCCCTACAGAGGAATTTCAAAGGTAGAGGAAACAAAGGAAATAAAGAATCACCATTAGAACACTACAAATAATAGCCACACCACAAGCGGTTCAGCGTCTGCCTTTGGCTCAGGGCTGGAGTACTGGGATCAAGTCCCACATTGGGCTTCCTGCATGAAGCCTGCTTCTCCTTCTGCCTGTGTCTCTGCCATTCTCTCTCTCATGAATACATAAATTCTTTAAAAAAAAAAAATAGTCAAAAGCAAGATCCACTAATAAATGCTAAAAGGAGGGAACCTTTATAGAAACAGTATTAGAATAGCTTCGAAGTGTCTCCCCCAAATACTTAATAATTACAATGGTAGCTTTAATATACAGCTAATATAGGTCCACAAATTCAGATCCTCCTCCCCCTGGGGGACTTTTTCTAAATATATAACCTTTAAAATATATATATTTTATTTATTTATTCAACAGAGGAGAGCGCATACACGCAGGGGGAGCAGCAGAGGGAGCGGGAGAAGCAGGCTCCCTGCACAGCAGAGAGCCCAATGCCAGCTAGATCCCAGGACCTGGATGGACATCATGACCCAAGCCAAAAGGCAGATGCTCAACTGAACCAACTGAGCCACTCAGGCATTGGGGACTGGTTTTTAATAAACAAAATAAGAGAAAAAACCCTAACCTGGCAGACTTTAAGTACCACTTTATTCAACTTACCAAGGCTAAATTCAACCAGTAAATTAATGTCCCCCTGATGTGATAAGAAGACTTAAGTCTTACCTCTGTGGTATTCTTTCCCCCAAATTCATAACCTCAGTCTACTTACTCATGATGTAGCCCAACTGAGATCAAGGGTCAAGATCACAAAAGACAAAAGACAGAAACTGTCACATATCAGAGAGAGACTAAAGAGACAGGAGGACTAAATGCAATGGGGTGTATCTTGGATTGGATCCTGATACAGAAAAAAGACATTAGTGGAAAAAAATAAGGAAATCCAAATAAGGGCAATCATTTAGTTAACAGTATTTCATTCAATGTCAATTTCTTAGCTATCTTAAACTCAAAAGAAGAAACTTCAAGACAGAGCTGAAAAACTTAACAATTCACTAGTTTGTCTTGGTTTTTTAGCATCCATTCCCCACTCCAAAGTTAAAAGTCAGTCAGATGGATTTATAATTAGGCAACAGTCTATGTTCTTTCTCATAGACTGAAATGTAAAACTATCTTGTAATTAATACTACTGTCTCATCTACAAATTCCTAAAAACATGAATTTCCCACCCTTCAGATCTCACAAAGCATAGAGCAAGCTCAGAGTCCAGAGTATACTTGAGGTATAGCCTACAAAAGCCTAGAAAGTATTTGTCACACACCTTCTAAATTCTGAAACTTTCAAACGTTTTTGAATAAGGAAAAAGCTAAGATATAACAGTCTACAGTGCCCTACTAGATATACAAGCTTTACAAAATATACAACTATTTGGGTTTCAGAGCTTCACTTCTTTTTATAAGTAAAAAGATAAGAACACTAAGCTATGTAAAAGCACTTTTAGAACATAAAAGGGCTATACAAAACACACAAGGATGCTGTTACATAGCCAATTAAGTTAACAGCCACCAAGGATGACATCCCCACAAAGCCGAAGTGTGTCCCATCTAGGAGGCCCCTTTTTCTGAACCAGCTCTAACATTTACTTTAATGATTATTAAATACCTGGGGCACCTGGGTAGCTCAGTCAATAAGCATCGGACTCTCGGGTTTTGGGTCAAGTCTTGATCTCAGGATTGGAACATCAAGCTCCCAGTGGGGCTTCACACTCACTGTGGAGTCTGCTTGTGACACTCTCTCCCTCTATCCCTTTCCTTCTCCAGCCCCCACCAGCTCACTAGCTCATGCTCTCTAAAATAAAGAAATCTCTAAAAAATTATCATTAATAACGGAAAGACAACAAGGTGAACAGTTAAACAATATTACACGACCGACCACCAGAGAACAAAAGGAGAGATCTAGCATTCAAAGCCATCTAAAAACTAAGGCCACAATCTGTGAAATTTTTTGAATTACTTTGTTTCATAAAAGCCCACTCTTCGTATGGAGATTATTCCTAGCTCTTCACCGTATTACCTGGCTTGCAATTCAACTTCTCTGGCCAAAGACAAACAGGGTGTCCAAGAATATTTCAATAAAAGTACAAAGCTGATTTTTGAGATTTAAAAATATAATAAACCCAATTTAACCACCAGTGTGTGATCACCAACTACAAGTGAGATTACAATTGCTGAGTCTAAATTTAACTCCATGGCTGGAAGGACAGTGTTGCAACTAAAGGTTTTTCTCACTAGTCGTTAACTGAAAGGGTGGGGGGCATTTTTTAAACCCATCTGCTGAACAATGCATGACCGAATTCTAAAATAACATTTAAAAAAAAAATGAGTTACAAAATGTGAAAAAATCAGAGATAACTTTATTAAACGGGCAAAAAAAAAAAACTGCTTTCAGTTACAAACTGAGGCTTTATATTAAATTTCATTTCTTACCTGCCATTGCCCTATTCATCCTATGAACCATATACAATTCACAAAGGTAATAAAAGCTTAAACTAACCTCTACCCTTTACTTTCTATGCAAAGTACTATAACAAGTAAAATAATGAAAATTACAAGAACTACTGCAAAATAGGTCAGCAACAAACATTACCAAATCTTCTGATGCACTCTTAGCAGACTGTCAGCTGAGAACAGCAAACTGAATGTGAGTTAAATAAAGAACAAAGAACTGCCTACTTTTCTATCAGAAGTACAAAAGCCTAAACAGAAAGGATTTAGCAATAACAAAAGTAACCTGACTTGGCTGGGAAGAAGGAAGGCACGCTACTCTCATATATTACAATCTGCTTCATTTGTTCTTAATAAATCCATACATGGAGAGAGACACTGGGCTACCAATTTGTAAATTACCAGTTTTCATATTCCACCCAACGGAGGCCAGAGGCGAGGCAAAGAACAGGCTAAGAAATATCTGAAAGGGAAACAAAATTCTTCCTCAATTAAGGCCCAAGCAAATGTCATCCTAATCTATTTTACTCTGAGCACTGACACCATTAGCTGGACTCCAAGTTAACAGTTTAAATGTATGTTACTATGTTTTAAAATTCGAAACCTAAAATGCTAACTCAATAGTTAAGACCATCTAAATAAAGGTAACTAGAATTGCTACATGAAGGCACGTTTTAAGTAAAACAATGTTATATTCTAAAGCAACACCAACTAAAATAAGAACTTGGACCATACAATATTTTGATCCTTTATTGCTACTTTCTGTTAAGAAACATGGAAAGTACGGGTAAATGGAAACACTTACAAATATTAAGCTTCCTTGTAGTATTTTAGTTTGCTGACGAGGATGTAAATGTTAAGGTTCCCTCTGACTGCAAAAAATTCTTATTGAAAGACTAATCCTAAAGGCTCTAAAAAACAAGTAAGAGGGATCCCTGGGTGGGCGCAGCGGTTTGGCGCCAGCCTTTGGCCCAGGGCGCGATCCTGGAGACCCGGGATCAAATCCCACGTCGGGTTCCCGGTGCATGGAGCCTGCTTCTCCCTCTGCCTGTGTCTCTGCCTCTCTCTCTCTCTCTGTGTGACTATCATAAATATTAAAAAAAAAAAAAAAAAAAGAGGTTGAAAGCCATTCCAAGCAAAATTAATTCATTAGAGCCAAAGCCCAAACTTTTGTTAGTTCTATCTCAAGTAGAGACGTTTGTGATGTCAAGTAATGGTCTGGACCTGCAACTATTTTACTAAGACAGGGAGCATGACGGCTTTTAGAAATCGCAAATATATACGCTCCCCTCTGAAGGTGTGTTCCCTACTCGCAGATACTACACGCGGGAGCCGAACAGTAAACGGTAAACAAACGAAATGAATGTAGAGAGGCTTTCACCCACAGAAGATTCCGACTTTAGCCCCAAGGGCAAGATTCCTAACACACCTCAATCACTCCTAATTCACCGAGCATAAGCGCCAGAGGCTTAATTCATATTGTAACCGGGCACCATCCTTTCCACCCCAACTTCACATTTCAACCCACCCTTGGCGGGCCAGATCTGAACAAAGTCCCCGCTCGGCCCCGCATGTTGTCCAACGACAAAACGAGCAAGTCTTGAACTATCTCACGGACGGTCTTTCTCAAAAGTCTGCCTCGGTTAAGAAAAGACGAAAAAGGTCTACGGTGTAAGCGCAGGGCCTGCGCTCGCGGCCGCCGGGAACTTCCCACCGTCGCGCCGCGAGTTACCAAACCTGCGCAGGGGCACCGTCCGCGCCCGCCGGCACTTCCTCGCCGCTTTCTCCGGAAGCTCGGCGGGCCGCGCGTCCATCAGCTGGCCGTGCGCTCACACGCGGACCGCAAGCCCAACGCCCTCCGTGTCCTTTGTCGCCGCGCCTCCCTGCAAGCCCACAAGTGGCTCCAGCACAGAGGCCGCCGCGCTGGCCTCCCCGGGGACCAGTGCTCCCTCCGAGGGCACCGGCTCAAGGACGCCAACGGGCCACGGGCCGGGGGCCCCCGATGCCTGCCCCTTACCGTCGGCGTGTCGGGGCCCACGTCTCTCCGCCTCTGGACGCCCGGGTCCGTTGCAAAACAGGCAGCTCGCCGCACCTACCTCGCCGGACCGCCGTGGGAGTACAGGAGAGCCACCCAAGTTGCTCAGCACAGGGCCCGGCTCCCAGCGACGGCTCAGAAAGAAGAGCGGTTATTCCCTCCTCGCATCCTCCGCGCCTTCGCGCTCCCCCTTTCCACTCCCTGTAAAACCCGGGAGCAGCAGCACTTCTGCTTCCCAAGCCGAAGCCTCCTCGCGCCCCCGGGCCGGCCCGGGCCGCAGCCCCTCGCCGGGGGCGGGGGGGGGGGGACTCTGCGGGCGCGCGGCAGCGGGAGAGGCCGGCGAGCAGGCCGCGCGGGGCCCCGGGCTCCCGACACGGCCCTGGGGCCCGGGCGGCGGCCGCCGCTCGCTCCCGGCCCGCGCGACCGTTGGGCGTGGCACGCGCATGCGGCGGACGCGGACGCGGACACGCGCGCCGACCGGTGAGAGCGCGGCGCGGAGGGGGCGGGGAAACTCCGCGCGCCCGGGCGCCCGCCTGCGGCCGTTGGGGGGGGGGGGGAGGCGGTGCGCACGCCTCGCGCGGAGGCCACCACCGCCGCCGCCGCCACCGCCGCCGCCCGGACTTCTCTCTCAAGCGCCCCGGCTCGTCTCGGTCCCGGGGCCGCCCTGCCCCGCCCCGCCCACACCCACACCCACACCCACACCCGGGCGTACCTGCGCGGCTGAGCGGGAGAGGAACAAGCTCTGCTCCACGGCACGGCGGAAGGCGAAATCCCCTCACGCAACTGCGTCCGCACACACGCGTGCTCCGTCGCCGGTCTATATAACCGTGCCTCAGCCTAACTTGCTGCGGCCAGGTCGAGCAGCCGGCTGACCAATCCCAACTGCGCCCTCTGCGCTCTTCGAGCAGCAATTGGGCACTGACTCGGGGTGAAGGCGTGGCTCTTGATTGGCTTTGACTTCTGCCTATGAGACTCTGAGGATCTCGTTTCCCTAGTAACGGATTGGCACGGAGGGCGGCCAATCACTTCACGGGACGTCGAAAGGAGGGCGGGGAGTCCTTTGAGTGATGCCCAGAGCAGCCAATGAATGCGTGGGGCCGCTCCCATTCGTCAAGATGTGTTTTCCCCTGGGCGGAGATCCGTTGTCCGTGCAGGAGCGGTTGCTCCACAAGGTGGGGCCCGTGTACTTTGGGGAAGTAAACCCCAAGCAACTAGGAGGTGGGCGCCGGGGAGGCCAAGGGAGCCCCCGGCCAATCGCGAAGCGGGAAGGGTCTGATTGACGCGGGGGTGGGACTGACTGCGCCGAGGAGACCGAGCCCCAGGGCCGCCGTGCCCTCCGGGGACGGTTCGGGGGCTCTCCGGCCGCGGGCTCCAGTCCTCTGTCCTTTCTTTCCCTCGCTCGTTGGGTCTAGCCCCTGAGTCCCCCTCTCCCGTCTTTTCTGCACCGTTTGGCACTAGGGAAACCAAGTGCGAAAGTTCCCGTTGCTTGGGGTTTTTTTTCTTCCTCTTAGGGCAACTTTCTTTTTTTTTTTTTTTTTTTTGATTTCCATGTGGCCGCCTAAGGGCACTTGCTGGCCCTCCCATTAGTCAGCCCTCTGGGGGGACAGCGGTTCAGGGGGCCTTCCCGAGGTCGCGTGGAGAGGCGGCACGTGAGAGCCGCTGCGGAGCCCGAGGACACGGTCTGTGCGGCCGGCGGCTGGTGGCAAGCGCAGGGGGCCCGGGCCGGCTGCGGGGCCCGCTCGCCGAGGTCTTCCCGGCCGTTGCTGCCGACGCGCCGCAGCCTGGAGAGTCTGCGCCACGCTCGGTGCTTAAGGCAACATCCTGGGCGTCACCACCGCTGCCCTCCAGCCTTCGACTAGCCGCGGGTGTGGGGCTGCCCTGGCGTCCTTAAGGGTGGCTTGTCAGAGCCCTGCACGGACGCCCGCGTGCTCCCGAAGCTCTGCTGGGGCTCAGCGGCGCTGCAGCCCGGTCCTGTCCCCGCCTCTCGGGGCTCCGCTGGGCCCTCTGTCGGTCACCATGAGCATCTTGCAAGGAAACACAGGGACGCCTCGGCCGGTTCTCGTTCCAGGCTCGTGGCCTCCGGGGAAGTTCTGCAGACAGTTTGGGAGTGGAGCGCCCGGAGCGTCTCTGCTGGGGCAGAAGGGGCGCCGGCAGCCACCTGCCGGGACCCGGGCGCATCCCTCCAGCTCCCTGCGCGGGGACCGGCCCCAGACAAGACTCGCGGCCGCCCCAGAAACCAAGCGAGTGCGTCCCTCCGGCCCCGCAGGTCCCACTGCCCGGTGGACCCAGCTCACTCAACGCTTAGGGAGCTCCTGGTAAGGGCTGGGCCCGGAGAGGAACCGAACGCCGTCTCGGCTCTCGTCACCCCGTTGGACCGACCGGGGCGCTTTGCTGGGTCGGGAGCCCCCCACCCCCACCGCCCTCTGGAGGGGGAACAGGCGTCTAGGACAATGAAGGCACCGGGTGGAACCCAACGCGGAGGAGAAAAGCCGCTCAAGTGTCCTAGAGTAAGGGCCCCCGCCCACCCAGCCCCACACCGGGATCGATGGGGTCAGCTGTGCTAAGGAATTCGGAGCTTTATTCCGTTGGGCAGTGCAGAGCCCCTGAAACGGTTCTTAAAGAGATTTCCTTTTACAAGACGACTCTCCAAATTGAAATGCTAATGAGAGATTTGCAAAACTTTGAATTTGCTGATTAGTAATTTAACCCAGATGGCCTGTGATAAGAGTCAAGACTACTCTGGGATCACATTTGGAGGGAATTTTAAGTGATACGGCTATTTTTGTAAGGCTATTTGGCAGTCAACTATTAAAATTGTGTATATCATCCAAAACAATAATAGTACTTCTTGCTTTATAGCCACACTTTTTTTTTTCCATAAGAAGCGTATATCAGGGTGTTGAACTGCAGCATTGTCAGCTCTGTTACAACACTTAAGAACTGAAAATGTTAAAAAGAAAAAAAAAAAGTACTGAAAACGTAGAGGCACCTGGGTGGCCTAGTGACTGAGCCTCTGCCTTTGGCTCAGGTGGGGATCCTGGGATCAAGTCCCACATCCGGCTCCCCACGGGGAGCCTGCTTCTCCCTCTGCTTGTGTCTCTGCCTCTCTCTCTGTCTCTCATGAATAAATGAATAAAATCATTTTTAAAAAACTGAAAATGTAATTGCTCATCTATTGACAAACTGGTTAACCAGTTGATGAACCTATATTCTGAAACTACATCACAGTGATATGCATATAATATAGAATATCATGCAGTAGTTTTAAAAAGAAGAAGATAGAATTATACAGATATGGGTGGGTCTCCTTTTGTTATTTGGATTAACTGAAAAAAAATCAAGTTCAACAAAATATACAGTGTATTCCCATTTATGTCAAAAACAAAACAAAAAACAAAACGCCTGATTTCAGTATGTTAAAATCAATATGTAAATGCATAGGAAGAATTTTAAATTTAAAACAATAGTTATTTCCCCTAGAGAATCCCCCAGGTTGAGAGTGATGAGGATAATGTATTATTCAAAAGTTTTACAATGAGACTGTGTCCATGTACTGTGTTGTATAATGGGAGGTTGGAAGAAAAGAAGGGGAATTGGATTACCAGAGGGAGAAGGTAGACAAGAACCCTCACGTGGCCATTGCTATCTTCCACAGGAGAGAGCAAGTTGAGATTCTGTGGTAGCTTCCTCACTCAGATCATAAAAACTGGGGACATCTGGGTGGCTCAGTGGCTGAGTGACTGCCCTTGGCTTGGTCCTGGGATTGAATTCCTCATCCAGCTCTCCACAGGGAACGTCCTTCTCCCTCTGCCTATGTCTCTGCCTCTCTCTATCTCTCGTGAATAAATTATTTTTTAAAAATCATAAATACCCTCAGCACTCAGGTGCTGGATACTTAGTAAATGTTCAGTGAGTAATTTACTACCAATGAATTGTGTGGAGCACTGGTTCTAAAGCAGGGGAGTCAGGGGAGATTTTCCCCCAGGAGACTTGTGGCTTTAGTCACAACTGGGTAGAGGGACTACAGGCATCTAGTGGGCAGAGGCGAGGGATGCACAGATGCACTGGAAAGACACCCACACCCCTGCCATGACAAAGGATTTTCTGGCGAAAAAAGTCAATAGTGCCAAAGCTCTCAAAGAGACCCTGATCTGTCTTCCTGAGTCGTGTAGGGGAGAGTCCCCAGCCTCCTGCTGGTCTTTCTCTCTACTGGCAAGCAAAATCTGGATACCTCTCCTGTACACTACTTGACCCTTCTTTCTGCCAATTCTCCCCAAAGCTATGAGAATCAAGGTAGGAAGAAACGTGGCCAAAACCCCAGAAAATACACTTTAGCGGGGTATAGGGGAGAGGGAGGGGCACGTGGGGGGATTACTAGGTAAGGAATGATCCTAAGAATGTCAATGCAGTGTTCCCCAAATATATCAAATCATTTATGGAGGATGCTTAAAAATGTGTGCCTTTGCATTTATTAAACTCTCACCTGTGAACAAAGATCTAGTATAATATTCATTACAGCACTGCTGGTACTAGAGATAGGAAACAACCCAAATATGGAGCTATATGGAACTACTCTTATGGTGGACTGTCTTGCAACCATAGAGAAAATTAAGCAGGTCTATGTGTACAGTTACAGAGCAATCTGCAAAGTGAAGAATAATGGAACGAGTAAAAAAAGGGGGGCAGTAATCCATGGGGCAGTTATTTCTATTAAGGTATGCTGGATTGTTCTAGTTATCTCTACACATTCCTGGATGGTGTTGCTGTACATGCATAGGTTACATCTGTCTGGAAGGATCACAAGAAACTGTTAATGATTTCTAACAGGGAGGTGAACTTGGGCCCTGTAAGAGAACAGCTTAGTTTTCATTCATCCAAAGTACACTTTGGTACTGATAATTTTTTTTTAACATGTGCATGTATTATTTTTCAAAAGAAATTCAATGTTAAGTGCAGATGTTAAATATAGGAACTACAAATATGGAAACTTTGATCTTTAAAACAGGATAGGGATTAAGAGTACACTTATCTTGATGAGCAGTGAGTAATTTCTAGACTTGGTGAATCATTATATTGTAGACCAAAAGCTAATATGTTAACTACACTGGTATTAACATAAAATATGGGCACCTGGCTAGCTCAGTCGGTAGAGCTAGAGCATGAGACTCTTGATCTCAGGATTGTGAGTTGGAGCCCACCTTGGGTATGGAGATTACTTGAAAATAAAATCTTTAATAGAAATAAATTTAAAAAAAAACAC